CTAACTCTTTCCCTGACGAACTGTTTCCCTCACTAACTCTTTCTTTGACTAATTCTTCTTTGACTAATTCTTTCTTTGACTAACTCTTTCCCTCACTAACTCTTTCTTTGACTAACTCTTTCCCTGACTAACTATTTCCCTCACTAACTCTTTCTTATACTAATTCTTCTTTACTAATTCTTTCTTTGACTAACTCTTCTTTGACTAACTCTTTCTTTGACTAACTCTTTCCCTGACATTCTAAAAATCCGTAACACGGAAATTTCTCCCCCTAAATTTCCTTTGATTATATAATTAAAAATATATTGAATTTAAATTTAGGATAATTATATTAATTATTGAATATTATATTATTATTAAATATATTATTTTTTATAATAATTAATAATATAATAAATATTAAATATTGAGATGTAATATTTTAATATATTTAGATACATAAATTATAATGATTATTAAATTGTTTAAAGAATAAATATATATTTGTAAATAATATATGTAAATTATATTTATAAATTATAAATTAAATAATATTTATATTATTATTTATTATTTATATTAATTAATTTAATATTTATTAATATATTTATATATAATATATATTATTTAGCATTTATTTTGATATATATTAAATTCTATAAATAAGAAATGAAATTCTCCGTATAGGAAATATATATTTAAATGATTTTTTTATATAAAAATATACATCTTGATATATAAAATAATATAATAAAAATTTAAAAATAATAAGATGGGAATTATATTATATATGAAAATTTAATGGGAAATAAAAATATATATATAATATATATAATATAATGATGCATATTTATTCTAAACATATCTAGATTATCTAGGTTCTCAATTATCGGGTACAAGAAAAAATATATATTGACATTCTTGATCTTGGCCAATTTCTTTATTTCTGATTATTACAAATGGTTTTGTATCCAATTACATATTATTATGTGGTAATTAATTGGATTTGGATATTTTTTTTGTCTCACCATTATTCAAGGTTTTCGGATGAGTTCCGCACATTCATGCAAATAATAATGATGATAACAGGTATCCTTTCCAATTTTCCTTGGTTCATGTTATTTTCCAAAAAATATTTTCCTTTTTAAATAATAATGAAAAGGATAACTAAATAATAATTATTTCTTGATAAAATATTATTCGTTGATGGATGGCCCAGATACCAAAAAAATTCTTGAAATAATCCTTTATTATTTAATATTATTATTTGTTCATTAAATTTTTTTCGTTACTATGTATATTCTTTTGCAATACTCCATTATTTTAGTCAATTCCGATTCATCTCGGGTATAATTGTACCTACAAATCCGATTTAATAATCTTTATCCTAGATAAAGATAGCCAAGCAAGGAAAAAACCTTGGACCAGGTCGATGATTTGCTGCGAGAATATGGGGCATGTCGCTGTGAGAGCTCACCCGGGTT